CCTTCGGGGGTCCTGGGGACTCTTAGATAGGAGGGCCCTCAGCTCCCGCAGTGGCTACTCACCTCCACTTACTCATGCACGGCCAGTGGTCAGCCACGCCTTCCAAGATCACAGGCCTCCCAGGGACTAGAAAGTGCTTCCTGAAGTACTGCAGGGTTGGGCAGCGAAGCCTGGGCACTGCCCGCTCTAACACCACATCGGGAGCTGCGTTGGAGTCACATTTTGTCTTCTGTTTAGAATCCAAATAAAGCAAGATGGCAACTGTCTCTGGAAGCTGTATCACTGGCAGGATGTCTTTGGTGTCGTTACAAACAGCAGACAGCATTTCTTTTTTGTTTTGATTTGTGTGGGTTTGTGTGTGCACAAGTGTATGGCAGGGGGCAACCTGAGGTGTTATTCTTTCTCATGCACTATCTACCTTATTGAGATGGGGTTTCTCCCTGGCCTGGGGCTCACTGATTCAGCTAGGCTGACTGGCTGGCAAGCCCCTGGGGTCCACCCATCTCAATCTCCCCAGCTCTGGGATGACAAGTACATGCCACCATGCCAAGTTGATCCCAAACTCCAGTGCTCCTATATGTGTGGTAAGCTTGACTGAACTATCTCCCCAGTCCTATGCTTTGTTTGAGATGGGATCTCAACATGTAGCCCTGACAAGCTCCAAACGCACAGACATCACCTGCCTCTACCTCCCAAGTGCGAGGGGTAAAGATGGACACCACTACACTGAGCAATGTTTTGTGCTTTTGAGACAGGGTCTCACTAGGAAGCCCAGCATGACCTTGAACCCAGAATCCCCTTGCCTCAAATTCCAGAGTGCCTACCACACCCAGCAGTAGATAACATTTCACCAGCTCAAGGTCCCTTTATTTCTTAGCCATCTCATAGTCTTAGAGCACCACCAGCAACAGTAGTCCTGAAGAGTGAGGAGCTCTGCCTTTGCATCCAAGCACTACCCTAGGAATTTCCACACCGCTACCCAATGGCTGCACCATACCTTCCTTATCCATTTCCCTCAGGAAAGCTGAGTGGGTCATTTACCATTCCTGGTGGTGACAACAGCACCCATGTGCGGTACCCAGGACCGCCTGCTGGCCTGAACTGGTCGTTTCCTTTGTAGTGCTGCCACGCTCAGCACAGGCCTTGGTACAGCCTCTCACAGAAGCCTCCTCTACCCTCTTCTAGCAACAGAAGATTCTTCTACAGCCTCTCAGGACCATAGCTCTGGGGTGGAGATGGGGATATTCTGTGTACACGCTCAGCAGGTTCATCCAGGCCACTGTCGGTGCTCTCTTCCAGTAAGGGACTGAGGCACAGAGACCCTGTCTGATCAGATTGGGTAGAGCATGGGAACAGAGCCCAGACAGGCTGACTTAAGGCCTGTGCTTCCTCCTCTATGGCTATGCATCCCCTACCCCACCTTAAAGAGGACCACTTTGGGCAGGACTCCACCATTACATCCCCTTGGGACACACTTGGGGGGAAGATGGGGAGTGCCCTTAAGTCAGAGGGGACACGTTTGCCTCTTGAATTGCAGACTGTCCTGCTCTCCAAAGAGTGAAGCAGCACACTACCTCATGGACCCACAGATGGCATGGGGCTTCACATAAGCACTGGCGGCTGGCAGTCCCTGAGGCTATCTGCGTCTCTCTTAATTTGTAACTTATTGTTATTATTGATTCACTTCATGTTTTTTTGTTTTGTTTTGTTTATCTGTTTTTTTCTTCACTGTAGACCTTGCTGGCTGCAAACTGTCCGTCCTGTGCCTCTCCCTCCCAGGCGCTCAGATTACAGATGTGTGCCAGCATGCCTAGCTTCTCTTCACTTGGTAAACAGAGGCCAGGCCCATTTCATTAATGGCTCTATGTCCTCATGAGGCTGTCCAGGCTTTAGATTTTCCCTACCAACCTCTCCAACTCCTCAGGCGAAAGGTTCAGCCCTGGCTCTCTTCCTGGCTTGTGGATCTCATTCCACTGTGCTCATACTCATTTGTTGACATCCATCACATCTTTTTTATACGTAAATCACACTCAACAGGAAATTCTAAAACTGCAGGAAAGCACTGAGAAGCCCATGGGAAACAGTCCAGAATTCCATGGCTGGTATCCAGCACTGCCCTGACAATTTATAGAAGTGGACATCGAAGCCCAAAGGAGATGGTTTCTGGCTTACCCAGCAGAAGCCGGGTGAGGTCTGTAAATCATGTTCCAGGTCTGGAAGGAACTCTGGGATACTTAAACAGCAGGCCAACCTCCATGAGGACTGGAGGAGCAGAACACACTGGCCTCTTGAACCTCAGTTCACTGGCTGAAGTATCTTTCCCAGACTAGGTGAGAAGGCATGTTGAGTTTCCTGCTGAGCTGCCTGGAAGCAATCTCCAGGAGACTGCAACAGCCTGGCTCTGCCTCATTCCTGTGAGCTGCCTCTCAGATTAATGAAGCTGCCACCTCCCCTCTTAAAAGGCACTGCCTTTGCAGAGACTTATGGGTCCAACTGCTCATTCCCCAAATCAACACAATGCCCATTTTTAGCAGAGAGGCTGCTTGTGAGAGGCTGTACCCAGAGAGAGGATTGAATTCTTCTAGAAGGTGGGTTGGTCTGCTGAACGGTTCAGCATGGACAATGACTTACTACCCATACATACCTTCGTAAAAGGCTCGTCCTGGTGGGGGTCACGGGCAGGCTGCTTTCCTGGGAGCAGGTGTGTCTGCAGGACTGTGACAACTTTGAGAAGGATGTCTCCAAGGATTGCTGCCCCCATCAACAGGCCCATGTCACACACCCGCAATGCTTCAGCCACTGCAGTGGCCTTTTGTGGTGCCTGGCACAGGCACATGGCCTTCAGGAGGCAGCCAAAGGAGTACACACGGCGCCATTCCTTGTCCACATCTTGCCAGGGTCCAGTGTTGAGCTTCTCCCAGGAGTAGTCCAGGATGGCCTCGCTGGCCTGCAGGCACTCCTGCCAATGTCCTGCATAGAACAACCCCACAGCTTGCTGTAGCAGCATGGTCAGGCTCCTGTCCACCTTCTCACTGAGCTCCAGCTTCAGCTCCTCCTCTGTGTCAGGCAGGAGTACCCTGAGGTCCTTCCAGAGGGTGCTAGACCCTACCAAGGGCTCTGTAGGACCCTTAGTGTCCTCTGACATGATCAGCACCTGAGCTGAGAGGAACAAGACAGGAATCAAAGACCACACACAACCTTTATGGCCCATACCAGAGCTTTTAAACAAAGTCTTTGCTGCTTTTTGGCCGCCTCACTGGTGCAGGGCCATCTTTTGAGGTCTCTACTCTACTTTCAGGGCCTTGCACAATGCCTGGCACTCAGTGCACACTCGACAGATGTCTGTTCAGGGAGAGATATGTGCTGTTCTCATCTGGAATGGCTCCAACACTCCTTCTCTCTTGATGAACTCCTGCCCAATCCTTCAGGCCCAGTCTACATCATCTATGTGGACGCTGAGAACACTCTTCAGTAGTGTTTGAGCTCCCACAGTTGGGCTCTTCCCACCACACTCATCCCAAACGACATTTACAGGCACGTTCGTGTGGTTTGCCTCTCCGACTCTGGGCTGTGGCACGTCCCACGTTGGTTTCCCTAAAGCCTAAAGCTAAGTCTCAATACAGATGCAGAAGGAAGTGCTCTGTTTAAGTGTTCCCAAAGAACTGTGTGTTGAAGGCTTGGTCCCCCTAGGCTTGGAGCCTAGGGAGAGAAACTAAGGTAGTGGAAACGTGCCCGTAAAGTTGGACACATTAAGACCTCAGCCTTGTTTATTGGTCCATAAAGTGAAGAGGCATCCTCTGCCTCAGCCCCAGCGATGATGTATTGAGCTGCCACAGGTCCAAAGCAACAAGGCCATGCAGCCCTGGATTGAAACCTCTAAAACTGTGAGCTCACACAAATCTTTCTTCTTTTTAATTTATCCTAGGTATCTGTTACAGAAACGGAAAGCTAACAAACACGCAACAACCTAAGCAGAAAGAAAATGCTCAGCACTGGCAGTCTGGTGGCTTAGCCTGAGTGTCGTGTGTACATGACAGTCACTGTACTAACAACAACAGGACCTGCAGCTCACAGACAACCATGGCTACCTGCCCTTCTCTCTGTTCTTAGCACTGTTGTAACAGCTCTGTCATCTGCTACGGGTTAGATGTGATTTATCTCTAAACTTTCATAGGCTTGGAATTTGGTCCTCAGTAGGGGACATTTAAGAGATAGGCCCAGAAAGAGGTGATTAGGTCATTAAGGGCACCACTGTGGGAGGGTATCAATACCTGCCTTACAAGAGTGGGCTAGTTTCTCTGAGGGTGGTTGGTATAAAGTGAGGTCACCCTCATCTGGCTTCCTGGCATGTGTCTGTGCCCCCTCCCACTTCTCTACCTAATGTGTGATACAGCTTGGTGGCTGGTGGCCCTCATCAGATGTCTGTAGCCAGCTGTTGGGACTCTGCAGCTGTCCGAATTGTGAGCCAAGGAAACTTCTTTTCATATGTCTCCCAACATGTGTCAGACAGTCTGTCCCAGCAACCTCAGACAGAGTGGGGTATCCTCTGCCTCCCATCATGGTGAGTGATGAGGAACACTGGGTTTCTGGCAGAGAATGCAGGTCAACATGAAACATCAGGCTTTGCTGTCCACACGGTCACAGTTGCTACTACTCTGCCATTCATGAACCAGAATAAACAAATAGGGGTGGCTATGTTCCAATAAAGCTTTATTTATAAAAACAGAGGGTACCAAATGGTAGTCTGCCAACTCCTGCTCCTTGTGTACTGGAGTTTACCTCTGGGTTTCATCCCTCGCATGGGATAAAAGAAAAGAATGAAAAGGAAAAGATCCCCCCACCCCATTTTGAGACAGGGTCTCTCTGTGTAGCCCTGGCTGTGGTGGAACTGTGAGCTGTGTTGTGGAACTATGTAGCTCAAGCTGACCAGATCTCTGAACTCAGAGATCCACCTGTCTGCCTGTGCCACCACCAACAGGTAGAAAAGATACCCTTTATCTTCTTCCTGGCTACTGTGACAGAGCAAGTGCTATTGGAATATGTGCAGTGGCTGATGTCTGGTCATAGAGACCTCCCATAGGTACCCTAGAAGGTGGGAATGGAGTGTTCTCAGGCTGGCTCTAGGGAATAAAGGTCCCAGGGAGCAGGAAGCTGCCATATGGAAAAGGGAATTGTGGGAAGGCCACTGAGCCAGCCTGGATGGTCTACATGGAAAAGGCATGAACAAAATATAAGCATACTTAGCTTACAAGTTAGTCTGCACTGACGGACAGATAACAGTCCCTACATAGTTCATATCCTACCTTCAAATGGTGATTATGTCACCTTTTAGAGCAAAAGGGCCTCTGCAGGTGTGACAGAATGGGACCTGAGATGGAAGATTACCCTGGCTTATCTGGATGGGCTCATGTATTTCATTATAAGGATTGCTTTGGGCTAAGGTCAGAGTTGGAAGGACACGTGACTTCAGAAGAACGGTCAAAGAAAGGCGAAGTGGCTGGCTTTGGTGACTAGTTAATAGGCCACAAGCTGAGTGGAATTCAGAGTAACTTTCAGAAGCTGAGAAAAATCAAAGAAACTGACTCTGTCCTGAGGCTTTTTTGAAAAGAAGGCAGCCCCACTGAGCCCTTGATTTCAGTCCAGCAAGATTTTCAGTCCACAGATCTGCAAGGGCAGCAAGCCTCTGCCTACAGCCAGAGCTTATGGTAGCCTACTTCAGCACAAGAGAAAAAGAAACCAGTGGGGCTGGAAAGTGACAAACACACGAGCCTGGAGCTCACATTCTTAGTGACTCTACTGACCACTCAGCTAGTATGTGCTGGCTCATGCCAAGATGTTGGGAAGGCCATGGGCAAAGAGATGAAGTGAGCCTATAGCTAACAGAGGATGAGGAGCAAGAGACTCCATGTCCCCATATGGAATCCGAACAACAGAACCTGGGGGGCATAGGTCCCTGTCCAGTTGAGTCTTTGCATGAGAGCTCAGCCGGACCATAGCCTTGTACAGGTTTCTGACAGAGGGCCTGGCCACGCCATGTACGCACACCCACTCAGAACAACAGTCCTAAGTGTGTATTGTTTAAGCCATTGAATTTACAATCCGCCAAGCAATGTCACACCTCTCACTTTCTATCTTAACTTCAGGGACACCTGGGGTCCCTACTGAGCTCAACAAGGGAACTCCTGTTGCTTAAGCTGAGTTCCGCAGACTGGGTAATTTGGAAGGAATAAAAGTTTAACAAGCTCCTGGTTCTGAAGGCTGAGAAGTCCAAGGGTACCTTCCAAGGACCTTCTTTCTAGCATAGGTTTTGTAGGCTTTGAACTCAGCCGTTGGCCACAGAACCCGTGACTGTACAGATGAGGGAACTGAGTCACACTTTCAAGTGACTTGGTTTGCTGGAGTGATGAAGCTGGGGAGCCGAGTTCATTACCAAGCAAGACCCTCTCTATGGAATTCTTCCTCCCATGTACAGATTGTGACGAATCTGTTTCATCACATGGAGTAAGGCTATTCCCATACTCCTTACCTAAAACAAAGAAATCTCATGGTTTTGCTGTTTTTTTTTTTAATTTCTTCTGTACCTGGACCCCTAATTTCTCAGGCACTGCACACCCCTTCTATGAGGCCTGTAGAGGAACCTCTCCTCTCTCCACAGTCTCACCAGAGTGCCATAGATCAGCTGAAACACTCTTTCCTGGGTTCTACCCCGAGGTTTCCAGATCCCCTCAGACCCTTCTTTCTTTTCCTTCACTCTACCCAGGGACAAGCACTAGCAGTCCTTTGTCAAAAGGCAGAATACTTATTCTTCAGTTGTTTATTTATCAACATAACTAGACCTGGTGGCAAAGGCTCACCCCCATGCCACCAGGTTGCTGGTTGCTGCTTCACTTTTTTTTTTTTATTAAAAAAAAAGCTGGGGGCTGGAGAGTTGGCTCAGTGGTTAAGAGCATTGCCTGCTCTTCCAAAGGTCCTGAGTTCAATTCCCAGCAACCACATGGTGGCTCACAACCATCTGTAATGAGGTCTGGTGCCCTCTTCTGGCCTGCAGACATACACACAGACAGAGTATTGTATACATAATAAATAAATAAATAAATATTTAAAAAAAAAAGCTTTATTTACTCATTAAGTACAGTGTCTGCCTGCATGTCCAGAAAAGGGCACCAGATCTCACCATAGATGGTTGTGAGGCACCATGGGATTGCTGGGAATTGAACTCAAGACCTCTGAAAGATATAGTACTTGAGGTCCTAGCTAGAGCAATACGACAACAAAAGGAGATCATCGGGATACATATCGGAAAAGAAGTCAAACTCTCACTATTTGCTGATGATATGATAGTTTACATAAGGGACCCCAAAAATTCTACCAAGGAACTTCTACAACTCATAAACACTTTCAGTAATGTAGCAGGATACAAGATTAACTCAAAAAAAAAAAAAACAACCAGTAGCCCTCCTTTACACAGATGATAAATGGGCTGAGAAAGAAATCAGAAAAAAATCACCCTTCACAATAGCCACAAATAGCATAAAATATCCAGAGTAACTCTAACCAAACAAGTGGAAGACCTGTATAACAAGAACTTTAAATCTTTGAAGAAATAAATTGAAGAAGACACCAGAAAATGGAAAGATCTCCCATGCTCTTAGGTAGGCAGGATTAGCATAGTAAAAATGGCACTCTTACCAAAAGCAATCTACAGATTCAATGCAATGCCCATCAAAATCCCAGCAAAATTCTTCACAGACCTTGAAAGAACAGTACTCAACTTCATATAGAAAAGCAAAAAACCCAGGATGACCAAAACAATCCTTACAATAAAGGAACTTCTGGAGGCACCACAATTCCTGACTTCAATCTCTACTATAGAGCCACAGTACTGAAAACACCCTGGTATTGGCATAAGAACAGACAGGAGGACCAATGGGACCGAATCAAAGACCCAGATATTAATCCACACACTTACAAACACCTGATTTTTGACAAAGAAGCAAAAAAATATAAAATGTAAAAAGAAAGCATATTCAACAAATGGTGCTGGCATAACTAGGTATCAACATGTAGAAGAATGAAAATAGATCCATATCTATCACCATGCATAAAACTCAAGTCCAAATGGTTCAAAGACCTCAACATAAAGCCAGCCACACTGAACC